TTCCAGCGTCTGAAAGTTTCAACGCTGCGTTCCAGCGTCTAAAAGTTTCAACGCTGCGTTCCAGCGTCCAAAAGTTTCAACGCTGCGTTCCAGCGTCCAAAAGTTTCAACGCTGCGTTCCAGCGTCCAAAAGTTTCAACGCTGCGTTCCAGCGTCCAAAAGTTTCAACGCTGCGTTCCAGCGTCCAAAAGTTTCAACGCTGCGTTCCAGCGTCCAAAAGTTTCAACGCTGCGTTCCAGCGTCCAAAAGTTTCAACGCTGCGTTCCAGCGTCCAAAAGTTTCAACGCTGCGTTCCAGCGTCCAAAAGTTTCAACGCTGCGTTCCAGCGTCCAAAGTTTCAACGCTGCGTTCCAGCGTCCAAAAGTTTCAACGCTGCGTTCCAGCGTCTAAAAATTTCAACGCTGCGTTCCAGCGTCTAAAAGTTTCAACGCTGCGTTCCAGCGTCCAAAAGTTTCAACGCTGCGTTCCAGCGTCCAAAACTTCAAAAAATTTCTTTCAGCAAATAATTCAAGGCTGTGTTCAAGGCTTCAACCTGTTTGGCGGCTTCGCCGGCAAAATGGTCGGTCAAACACCACCCCAACCGGCACCACTCCCAGCTCCACCGGCTCCAGCACCAGCTCAACAAATCATCGTGACTCACCCGGCAAAACCTCCAGAAATCGTCTACATCACTCAGCCACCGTATCCGCCAGCCACCCGTGGCCCGGAGACTCTTACCACCTTTGGAATTGTTGGCCTGGTTCTGGTGATCCTTTTCCTTTTGTGTTGTATTGCTGCCGGCGTCGGATTCTACATGTGGCAGAGTCAAAAGGCGGAACGAGAGAGAAGAGACGCAGATAGGGATAGGGATTTCGTGGAGATGGAAGGTGGTGGTAGACGTCGAAGAGGAAGACGTGGAAGACGTGGAAGTGGGACGACAATGTCCACAGGGACTACACGGACCCATCGGAGACGTTAACTTTCTTTCGATTTGGTGTTGAAAAATATGAAAAATAAACTTGTTACAGTAACCCTATAGTACCCTGAATCCCTGAACCACAATAACCTTTAATAACCCTAGAAACATTACATGAAAACCACTACTCAAAATAGAACCAAATCGTGATGGTCGCATTTATGGTAAGTCCGGACATCTAGACACACAGACAGACAAAAACGTTTTCAGCCCTTGCTTGCCATGGGCATGAACATTTTCGGTGGTTTCTTCGGAAAAGGAATGGGCGTGCCACCACCCCAACAACCACCTCTTCCACCTCCACCGGCTCCAGCACCACCTCAAATCGTGTACGTCACTCCTCCCAATCAACCATCATACACCCAAATCTTCACTCAAACTCCCTACCCGCCACCGACTCACGGTCCTGAAACTTCGCTGACCACCTATGGATTCATCGGAATCGGTGTGATTCTGTTGTTCCTTATTTGTTGTGTTGGTGCCGGAATCGGATTCTACATGTGGCAGAGTCAGAAGGCGGAACGAGAGAGACGAGACGCAGAGATGTGGAGGGAGCGGGAATTCATGGAGATGGAGAGGGGAAGAGGAAGAGGAAGGAAGAGAGGAAATAACACTTCGAGTGGATCATCCACTGGACGTAGTGGCACTACAAGGACTAGAAGAACTCGGAAAAGATAACTTTTTTTTTATTTTTTCTACTTGAGTTTACAGTATTTATTCTCAAATACCAAATAAAAAAATGTTGAAGTGTTACTTATTGCCAACTCATTCACGTTTTCATGAATTTTGATTCATGGTGGTTGAGTAGAGGAGAGGAAGTTGACTGGAATGCGACGAACACCTGAAAAAATTTGAAAGGAAAAAAGAAAAAAAAGTTTGACCCCAAGTGGGATCGAACCTGGGAACCCAAAATTGGTAGGCGGCAGCGTTAGCCACTACACCACGAGACCGCAACAGGGCAGAGAGGAGGAGGGCGTAGATAAAAGCGCCGAGAGAGGGGGGAGGGGGGGGGGGGAGTGAAACGTAGACACTCACCTTCCGCCTCCTTCAAATCCTTCCAAAGGGGCGGAGCCTGTCTATGATTCGGAGAAGCCGTCTTGTGATAGAACGCAAAATAGTGTCGCTTCTCCAACTTCTCCAGTGGTTGAGTGGTGTTCGAACACCAAATTGTGATGTTCATCGTTCCGTTCGGATTGATGAACGCCACCGGCGGTTGGACACGAAAGATGTCGGCGGAGGTGCAACGAATTTTGAACGTGATTCGAGTCGCCGTCGGATTGTGAAGACGAAGAATGACGGAGGTGGATTTGCCCGGTGGAGTGTACGGAAAGTCAATCTGAGGATGGGAAAATAGATTGAGTAGTTTCGTGGGGGCTTAAAACTGGAAAATTTTGAAATTTAGCGCTTGGGAATTTCTGGGAAAAAAAGAAAAAAAAAGAAAAAAAAGGCTTGACCCTAGATGGAATTGAACTCGGATACCCAAAATCGCAAGACAGCAGCGTTAGCCACTTAGCCACCGCGGGGCAGCGCTGAAAAAGGTGAAGAGGGCGCTGAGAAGAGTGAGCGACATAAAAGGGGGGGGGGTATTGGGAAGTCACAGATAATATCGCCACCCAGTCCGGCATGATAGGAGCAGCATATCTCGGTTGCCTTAAGATCTATCAAAAAGTGTTCAACTAAAAAAATGTTTAGCCAACCATTTTGAACATTTTACTAGTTGAACGCTTTTTGATAGCTTTAAAGACAATCGAGATAAGCTGCTTTGAACATTGAACACAAAAGACTGCATGGTTCATCTAAAACGGCATGTTCCAAGCAGTATATCTCGGTTGCCTTTAGAGCTTTCAAAAAGTGGTCAACTAAAAAAAAGTTAAGCAAATTATTTTAAACATTTTAGTAGTTGAAAACTTTTTGATAGCTTTCAAGATAACCGAGATATACTGCCATGAACATATGGTACGCCTGTATTACAGGATTGACTGTATTCCAAGCCAGAAAATGCCTGAATTACAGGATTTTTGGCAGTTTTTCGCTGCCAGCATCTCGCGTCTTCTTCACTCACCTGCTTCATATTCATCCACAACTTGAACGGCGGCTCATCACTCTTATTTCTCATCGCGACGTCGTCACTCGGTCCGGCATCGGCGAACGGCAACGGGGTGGGCGGTTTGGACGGTGTAGACATGAGTCAGGTGAGAACTGGGAATGAATATAGGAAAGGGGAGCGTGGAAATAATTTTTTGTTTTTGGAAAAAAATTCTGAGCCGAAGAGCTATTTCACGCTGAAATTTGAGTTCGAGTTCAAAATCAAAATTACTTTTATTATTATTTCAAAAAAAAAACATTTCTTCCAGTTTCGAGTTGTGCCTCTCTTCCTTTTCACGGTCCTTCTGCAGTATTCATTCCGGGATCCTCTGCAGGAGGTGCCCCAGGAATCGCGAAAACGTTTGGAGTGGGTGGAGTGGGCGGAGCTTGAGTGGGCGGAGCTTGAGTGGGCGGAGCTTGAGTGGGCGGAGTCTGCGTAGGAGCCTGAGGATCAAAGTGGACCGGGGCAAGTGTCGGACCAGCTGGGCTAATGGGATGGAGCTCCGGTGGTGTGGGTGCAGGTCCAGGAGATGGGGTGGGCGGAGCCACGGGTCCTTGGGGAAGGGCTGGAGCCGCAGGACCCATTCCGGATTGCGTCGGGTCTTCGGGAAGTTCGGCGGATCCAGCTGGACCTGCTCCAGGGCCTCCAGGGCCTCCAGGACCTCCAGGAGCCCCAGAAACCACTGGAGGTCCTGGAACACCTGGAACTCCAGGCACCGCCTTCTCACTTTTCTCGGACCGCTCCGACTTGGATCGCTTCTTCTCCTTCTTCCTCTTCTTCTTCTTCTTTTTCTTATCCTTCTTCCCACCCTTCGTCCCGGTACGAGTGGTTCCTCCTGTCGTTCCGGTTGTCCCGAATCCGGATGTCGCGCCAGTGGTGCCAGAGGTTCCTGAAGGAAATAGTTTTTGTAGTTTGTACCAGGGCTGTGCGAAAAATTTTCGAAAAAAAATTTTTTTTTTCGGTTTTTTGGAGAAAACCGAAAAAAATTCGAAAAAAAATTTTTTTTTTCGATTTTTCTCGGAATTTTACCCACTCATACCTGACATAGTAGTTCCATAACCACTCTCAATGGATCCACTCCCCGATCCACCAAATCCCTCTTGACTCCTCATCGCCTCCTGCTCCTTCTGCTTCTTTCGGTGCCAAAAAAAGAAAAATCCGGACGCCGAAAGCGATAAACAAATCGCCACAAAACCTCCAACAATGATCACAGCTCCAACAGTCACATCCAGCTCGGTAGTCGTCGGTGGACGTGTCGGTGGAGGTGGCATAGTGGGAGGTGCGGGTGGAAGAGGCGGTTGACCGGGTGGAGCCGTCGGTGGAGGAGGTGCCGGGGTGGGCGGTGGGGGTACAGGTGCCGGAGCTGGAGCCGGCATTATGGCTTGAGTGATGGTGGTGGCCAAGGTGAGGAGGGGTGGGATGAATCCCAGCCACTGGAAATATAGGAAATTATCGTTTCAGGGTTCGGCAAGTTGCCGGAAGTTGCCGAGTAGCGGTTCCGGCAAGTTGCCGCACGTCCTCGGCAACGAGCTTCAAAGCAGTGAAAGTGGCCGGCTGCCAAGAGTTTTGGCAAGTTGCCCAGGGTTGCCGCTTCGGTACAAAGACTACAAACTACAAGTTACTCACCGCCATTTCAATCGATTGATTTCCACTGTGATCACCGTCTCAAAGTTTGGTTTATTTTTGGTACTGATCAATTTTTGCTCCTTCTCATTGACCTTCGGCCCTCCACCCGCCCCCGCCCCGCTCTCCCAGAGGTCACCCTGTCAATGGAGCGCCCTTTACCCTCTACCCCTGGCACCGAAATGTCAATGGAGCACTGAAGGGGACGTCATTCCACGAAAACTTTATTGACAAAAGTGTAAACTTTGGACCATGCCTTCCTTCGCTGAAATGCAGGTGAGTCGAGAGGGAGAAAGCGCGCTTTTCTCTATGGCCGCTCCCCCTTCTTCTCTTTATGTGCGTCGTGGCCTAGTGGATAACGCTGCTGGCCAGCGTTCTGAAGGTGACGGGTTCGATCCCCCTTGGGGTCAAACCTTTTTTTCTTTTTTATCCAAAGTGGAATTTTTCCAGCCAATGATCACAGCTGGGATCAACACGCTCGGCACACTGCTCGGAGGCATCTTTGGTGCCAAACCACCACAACCACCACCGCTTCCACCGCCTCAACCGGTTCCACCAGCAGTGACGCAGATCGTCCAAGTACCGGCTCCTGATTCAGGCAAAATAGTAGAAAAGGTCATTCATATTACCCACGCACCCCTGCCACCACCAACCCATCCACCGGAGACCCTTCACTACCTGGGGATCATCGCCCTCGTCATCATCGTTCTGTTCATTCTGTCGTGCTGCGCATCGGGCATCGGATTCTTCTTCTGGCAGAGTCAGAAGGCTGAGCAAGAGAAGCGACAGAATGAGTTTAGAATGAGTGGAAGTGAGAGTTATATGGAGAGTGGAAGAGGGAGAAGACGTCGTGGAGGAAGTCGTTCCAGTTACTCCAGTGGCACCAGTGGAACCACCGGAAGAAGTCGACATGGGCGGTCGAGAATGCGATGATAAGGGCCAAGAAAGAAAGGAACTCTTTACTTGTTTGATTGAATTATCGAAAGGAATAAATAAATTGTAGTTTGTAGTCTTCAGAGCGCTCAAAATCCTTCATTTCAACTCCCAAATTTTGACAAGTTGCGCTGTACTAACAGCAGTGACAAACTGATTTTTCTTCCGTATTCCTATCAAAATTGCCACTGTATTCCGATACTGACAAGACATCAGAAAACAAATGAGGCAGTGAATAATGGCGTTCGTTGTGAAAATTGCATTGAAAATGTGATTGATGTAGGAGGCAATGTACCTGGAAAACGAGGAAATTGCTTCTTGAACAAGTATGATTCTGACTTACAAGTAACCCAATTCGGTGTATGCCACCTGAAGGACAGACACTATTCCGATGGGGAGTTCGACGATGAAAAATGAGGCGGTCATGAAGATCACCAAAGGTGTGGTTTTGTCGGATCTGGAGGAATTTTTTTGTTGAAATCGTTAAATGTGCACTTTTGATGTATGCGTTTAGACTTATTTAGTGGCTAGAAAGAGAAAGAGATATACAGAAAGAGAGGGAGAGGCGCAGGCAGTCAGACTGTCTAGCTGTCTGCTCCCTCTCTCCCCCTCGCCTCAAAGCCTCGACCGTGCGTTTCTCGGCTCAGAGAAGAACTAGAAAAATTATTCAAAAGAAAAATACGGTCAGAATTTTATGGGGAATCTTATGACATGATAAAAACTATAAAATTCCAGTATTTTTCTAGGTTGAGCCGCACTTTCTCAGGTTTTCCCATGTTTTATGGGATTTTTGATGAATTTCTGTATAAATTTTCGTGTTGAAGCATGTTCCTAGGGCTTCTCTGAGCTTAGATATGCGCAGTGGAAGTTTTGCGGCGGGAGAGATAGAGCGCAGGCAGTCAGACTGTCTAGCTGTCTGCGCCCTCTTTTCAAAACTTCCACCGTGCATATCTCGGCTCTGAGAACAGCTGGAAAAATGCTTCAAAAAACGAAAATAATCAAAATTCAATGAAAAACTCACTTCCTCCTCTTCCCCATTCGAATTTTGTCCGCTCTCTTCAGTTCCATAATCAACAGAAAAGTCAACAAAGGCATCATAACACAAGGTATAATTTTCGATACAATTCCATTAATCAACATGTAACTTTTCCCGAAAAATCCATTATAAACCGTAAATAATTCCGATGCAACTTGCGTCCATTTTTCCAAAGGGGGTGATGAATAAGCACATCTTTTAGGGGGTGAATACATCCCTTCATAAATAATATCATATCGAAAATAATAGATAATTGAAAACGGAATACTTGTGAGTAGACTCCAAATAAATGATTTATATCCGAAAAGTGGGAGAGAGTATTTCCGAAATTTCGGTTTTGTCCAAAACTTTAAATTGATAAATCGAATAAGTGCCATGATTACACCGAGCCATGTGGAACACCGACGGACCAGTTCACGAATATTGATGAATATCCAATAGATGTATAGTTGGGTCAATGGGGTTGGGGGTACGCTGAATTGATTTTACATAAAATTTGGGTCAGATTTGTTTTTTGAAGCGTTTTTCTAGCTCTTCTCTGGGCTGAGATATGGGCTTTGGAAGTTTAGTGATGCGGGAGAGGGAGGGGGAGAGTGCAGACAGTCAGAGTGTCTAGCTGTCTGCTCCCTCTCTCCCTCCACCCTCAAAGCTTCCATCGCTTATATCTCGACTCAGAGAAGAGCTAGAAACTTGGTCCAAGAGACAAATATGCTCAGAATTTCATGGGGAATCTCGATTCAATGCTAAATTACCAGTCATCCTCCTCATTCTCATTATAAATAATCCAGGTGGCACCGATTGTGGCGATCATCGCCACCAAATCACATATCCCCACACCGATCATAATTGATATCACTGAAGTTGTCCGCATAGATTTTCTTGTGAGAACTATCAAATGGAAAAACGTGATCACTAATCCAACGGTTGCCACGTAGAACTGAAACCGGACAGACGGGTGGGCGGCGAGTCAGGAAATTGATTTTTTGAGATAATCCATTTGGTCAAAATTGTTTTTTGAAGTATTTTCATAGCTCTGGTAGGAGCCGAGATATACGCTTCGGGAGTTTCACGGAGAAAGGGAGAGGGCGCAGACAGCTAGACAGTCTGACTGTCTGCACTCTCTCCGGAAAAATGAAACATTTCAGAATCTAGGCATGTTCATACTCATTTCGAAGCATTTTTCACCCTGATTCAGAATCTGTTTTCAGAAAATGCAAAATTTCAAATTTGACCAAGTTACGGTAGGTCCATGCGCCTTTAAAGTTAAAAAATTTTTTTGAAACCTAGTCATGATTATATTCATTCGAACCGGCTTGGATTGCTGATTCAGAAAAAAAAAGAAAGAAAAAAAACTCACTCCACAAAATTCACCAAGTCATTCAGAAACAATTTCGACGAATTTCCCGAATTCGGGAATAAATAAGTGGCTTGTTCATAGATCGTCGTGCTGCTCTCCATTTGGGGGAAAAATAGAATAAAAAAGGTGATAAAAAAAGGAAATGAGGAAGTCATAAACCACCAATCATCAGGGTGCATAGAGAAAGAAAAATAGGAAAACAATAATAATAATTTTTTACATTTTTTTATTCATTCAATTTTTGATCGAGGAGAGGTGGCGAGAAAAAAAGCGAAAAGGTATAAGAAAAAAGAAAAAAGCGGAAATTTTTTCGGTTGTTTTTGTCAGGGGAAACCAAAAAACAACGACGACTAGACACCTTGCTCTCATTATTTTTTGTTCATGACTTCTCAGAAAAGATGTGTTAAAGGACGTCATAAAAGTCTGTTTTTGTTTCAAATCAGTCGATTTTTGTAGTTTGTAGTATTTGTAGTCCTTGTAGTCCTGGTAGTCTTTGTCGCCATTGTAGTATTTGTAGTATGTGTAGTCTTCGTGGTCTTTGTAGCTATTGTAGCCTTCGTAGCCTCCCTTCACTCCAAAACTCTCGGTGCAAAAATCTTTGCTGGCTGACTATGAACAGTCACTGTGGGGGTCCTGGTGCCGAACATATTCGATGGATTATGGAACACTCCTGAAAGACTACAATGACTACAAAGACTACAAAAACTACACTCGAACCTTTCAATGCCTTTCGATAGTCGGAGACAATAAGCATGAGAATCAATGAGTCAATTGGTGGATAAATGGAGAATGAGCATACAATTAGACCAGTTGGAAGACTCCATTTCAGATTTAAGAACGGGACGGTGAGAATTGCAACTGCCGGAATATAGAATGTCAGTGTTGGAGAGGTTATCTGCAAATTAGATTGCGGGGATTGGTGGGCTAGACTTCATGGAAAATTCCTACAGTACTCATTTCAAATTTCTCTGTTTTGGAGCTACCGTGACTCTCAAAATTTTGAAAATTAGCAATTTTCGAAAACAGATCCTGAATCAGGACGTTAAATGCTTCGAAATGAGTATAATCATGCCTAGATTCTGAAGAGGCCAATTTTTGCGGTGAGAGTGCAGACAGTCAGACTGTCTAGCTTTCTGCGCCCTCTCCCTCTCTTTCCACCGGCGCCCTCTCCCCCCGCGTTCCCACCCACAACCATGACTCATCCCCCTCCATAAAACATGCGCCTAAAGTTTTATGTCCACATTTACATATTTTCCAGTCTCTTATAGCGCCCCTAGGCCTCCTATTCTTCACCAGAATGCTTCCCATCATTCGTTACTTCGTCTTCTTTGCTCTCATCATCTCAATGGTCATTTGTGTGGAGCCGACCCATAACTTGCTCCAGAGAAACAAACGTGATATCACTGTCACTACTGAACCGCTTCGCAAGATTGTGAGTTTTTAGAGAAAATCTAGGCCAGGGGCTTAGAAAGTCAGGCCACCGGAACTAGGTCATCATTCCAGCCATCCTCCCGTGCCGCCCGTACCCATGATCACTCCGGTCACACCCATGCTGCCCGCCGTCACTTCGTCACCCGCCGCCCGTCCGGAGGACAGTTCAAGCTCAGACATTAATTGATTCTTTGTTTGAGAATAAAGTTACTTGCATCTAGAAAGTGTAGGACACCCAAACACACAGACAGACCCACCTGCAACACTAGGCTCTTGAAGAATTGTTTCTGAAGTCTCCGATGCTCATCCGACACATTTTTCAGCATATCATTCATCTTAAAATGCATCTGAAATCCACAGATTCCGACGATGGTGAACTGGATTCCCATGAGGAAGATGATGCCGAATGAGAAGCCAAAGGCATTCCAGCGCAGCTTTCCCAAGTCGTCCTGGAATATTTTTAGCTTCGGGGGATACTGTAGCTTCGAACTCACGTAGGCTATCACAGTGTACCCGGATATATGATTCACATCCATATCATAATGCTCTTTCATCACATCTCTGGAAAAAAATTCAAGTTAGATGTGCAGGTTATCTTACTGTACCTCATATAGTCTCTTGAATAGTCGTCAATCCATCCGAAATACAGAACC